TATTTGTCAACCTTATAAAAGTTCAAGTTCTTGAATAAAATTATCTTTAATGCATGAATGATCAATCAATTCCATAATGATTAATATAATCCTTTCTATTATAAGAAACACAGGTACTTTTTTTATGAAGATTTGTGGAATTATCCATCATTTTTAAAACCATTCTGGTAGACTTTTTAAAAGATCGAAGTAAATGACAAAAAAGGTATAAAAAGAAATGCTTGCGGATCACAATTAGATCTTATGGTTTATAATAATTATTTTTGGATATGAAATTTCTCAAACTGAATCTGTTCGAGATGGGTTGGTATCTATTTATTTTTATTTATTTTTATTTATTTTTATTTATTTTTATTTATTTTTATTTATTTTTATTTATTTTTATTTATTTTTATTTTTTATTTTTATTTATCTTTTTATTTTATTTTTATTTATTTTTTAAATTTTTTTTTATTTATCTTTTTATTATTTATTTTTTATTTGTTTTTTTATTTATTTTTTTATTCATTTTTTTTATAATAATTTGTTAATATAAATGTTTGCGTATGAATCCAAACCTAATGCCAATCTAATTACGGCAATTGGGATGAGATAGATCCAAGTTGGGAGGGCTGACGATCTACGTGGAATGACTATTATAAGAAAAATAATAAAATGGGGAAGACCCCGTACGCAACAACCGAAGGTCAAAAATTAGAGCATATCTTGCCTTATTGGGAAACTAAAAGAATCAGATTGACGTATTGATATATGTCGTGGTCTAGTTTTTCTTCACGATATTAGATGCGCAAATATCATGGTAAGTTAAAAAATATATATGCAAACAAATTTTTTTTTTATAAATATAATTGGTCTATTTAACTTCTTTACCATAATAACAGCCAGGAAGGTTCCTGAAAAGATGTTAGATCTAAAAAAAAAATGAGATCTAATTTCAAATATGAAATATTCAGGTAAATATTTATATACTTATGTTTTCATTTGGTTTCTTCATATAAATAAAATTTCTTTTCTTTTCTTTCTATTTATCATTTTTTAAAGTTTTGGAATGCTGCTTTGAGAATTAGTATTTCAAAAAATTCCATATGAAGATAAGGACTTCTTTCAATCAGAGAGTATGTTTTAAAAGGTGGCCGAGAGAAATTGTTTTATATGACTTTTCATCGGAAAATCAAATAATTCAAAAGATTATAATTGCTGGTAATATATTTATTGTTATCCTAATGCTTATTGTGTTTCATATGATTTGATTAAATTAATAAGATTTTATTTATTATTTGTATTAAGCTTGGCAACAGGGTATTGAAATCCACGGAAATTTTCTTAAGAATTCAAGAATTATCCTATGGACAAGTCACCAACCTTAAATCCTATTGGAATATTAAATTTAGATGGAACTTTCAGATTTATTCCAACGATAGTACCACTTGAAGAAGGCATTGAAATTCATGAGAATAAAGATCATCGAAAAGCATGGTTATGTTTCAAAGAAAAATGCTAAATTTATTTTCAAAATATTGGATGTGATATTATTTATCAGAAGGACTTTTAGACAGGAAAAAGATGGAAATTTTATAAGGCGGATATTTTTGAAAGTTTTCGTGACCTATGTAAATTTTTGAAAATATTTGCGTATATTTACGTTTTTATGCATTCGTTCACGATTTTCTAATAAGGTGTTTCTAAGATAGAAGCGCCTCGTTCAGGTCTATAGTGATATATGTTTTGTCTCTGTAATATCGATATTCGTTGAAATATTCCGGTTTAAATAAAAACGTCCGTGTAAATGTTTCGCATCCAGTGAAATATTTTGAAAATTTTTTACACGGACGTTTTTATTTAAACCAATATTTCGGCGAATATCAAGAGACGAAACATATAAAATATTGTATCCCTTTGTAGCCCGAAACATATATCATCTTGTAGCCCTTTGTAGCCCTGAACGAGGAGCTTCTATCTATCTTAGAAACACCTTAGTAGAAAATCGCGTAAATCGCGAGCGAAGGTCCCGAAAACTTTGAAAATATCCGCCTTATAAATATTCCTGATGTGTTCAAGCAAACCTACTTTTCAAAGAAGTAGCTGATGATGGATTGCAGATGCTCAACTACGTTATGAATTTTCTTTATTTAACACACCAGGAATTGAATTTGATTGCAAAGTTTTTGTTTCATGGTAGCAAATGGTGATGATATTACAGCCAATATAATTTAGGTGATATGGAAAGATATTTAGATAAATGGATGTTGAATTAGGAACAAAAGATTTGAAAATTACTGCTCTGAATAATTGATCCATTAAGATAATGACTTAAATATTTATTACTTAATAGTTATTATTTATTTATCTTTTATTTCATTTTATTGAAATGAAAATATAAAATAATGTATTTTATGTACTTTTTCATAAAATAAATAAATTGTGGATGCACGAAATGATCTTGAATCAGAATGATAGCTCTTACTTCGGCCAGTAAATTAAACTAGTTGCCACTTAAAATTTAATTTATATTATCTGTTATGATTCGAACTAATTTTAGATAACTTAATGAATTCATTTTCCAAGAACATAAACGTATCAAATAATCAATTTCTAGAAGAATTTAAATTATTGCAAAAAAAAAACTTATACCATATCACTATTGGAATTGGATAGAATATAGAAAAATACCAATGTTCTAAAACTTTAACCAAACTTTTGTGTAACTCAGATAAACTATGGAGTATATCAGGCTGAGTAAATTATCCATTGTGCTTAAGATCAACTTATTTTTTTTTGCACATAGTTACTGATTTAATACAATTGAAAACGTTATGAAAGTTGGAACGGGAGGATTCATTGAAGTAAAGAAAGGCTTACTCGAATACTTTAAGAAATTATGTCGCATTAAAATGTTTGTACGGATTTAATGATGATAATGACGACGAAATTTATAAATAATTTATGAAAGAGGCAAGTAACTCTTGTTTTCATTAATTACAATATTTTTAGTTGAAATTAAATATTTTTTTCGAAACTATTAGTCACGAAGTCAACAACCACGATAATATTATTGATTTTTACGGAATCAGCATAGGTAAAATAAATTATTATTTAGAAATTACATGTTGAATTCATATTCTTTATTCAAAAGTAATTATTTTCAATAAAAATATTACTTAGATCCTTCAACAGAAAAATATTATCTAGTATTACAATATGTTGAAGATGGCAATTTGCGGACTTATCTACGAAATAATTTTGAAAAATTCAATTGGAATGCTAAAATTAGTATGGCTAAAGATATTGCGAGAGGTTTATTCATCAAAATAATATTATTCATCGAAATTTGGTAATTGTGGGCTATATATATATAACTATGAAATTTTGTGAATTATGAATTGTATAAATTATATATCTAAACTTACTTTTAATAACATTCAAAGAATATTTTGGTTCACGAAGGAAAATTATTGATTGCAGATTTAGGATTATCTCAACAATTAGATGAAAATTCAAATTCACTTGAAGGTGGAATTATAGCATATACAGATCTCGCATATTTACGAAATATAAATACATATAAGAGAAATAAAGCTTCAGATATATATAGTTTAGGTGTTCTTTTTGGGAATTATCTAGTGGAAAACCACCATTTCATAACATTTCAGCTCATGCTGTACTAATAATATAGTTATTTCTGGTTTAAGAGGAGCAAATATTCACGAAACACCATTAAATTATTAAATTACAATAATATCTATTCAATTGACATGGAAAGATGATCCAAATCTGAGACCAACTAAGAAAAGATTTGTGATTCTCTTGAAAATACTCAATTAAAAAAATGTTTTAATATTCTTAGTGAAAATATTTCAATCAGTAAAGATCCCGTATCAAATGAATTAAATGATCAACATCAGATACCGTATCAAGTGCACAGTGATCAAACGTCTTCACTAAGCTTGATAGAGTGGAAAAGCGAAGATGAGACACCTAAGATTTTGCAAGGCGATGCAGTTCATGAAAAAGATGTTAGAATTCTGACTCAGAATTAACAAAAAGTACAAAAAGTGCTTTAGGTGAAATTATTGGAGACGTGGTTCAATCTTATCTACCTTTATTTTCTACTGTAACCATCATTATTACAGAAATAAATAAAATCTATGCCAATGCTAAATATAATAAAAAAGTTTGAATTTCTCTTATTGATCGTGTAAATGTAGCTGAATTATCAATTAGAAATTTAGAGCTTTCCATCATTTTATCGAAGTCATGGAAAAAATAAAACAGTTTATGGCCAATTTATCTAGCTTTCTGGTTCAAAAGTATTTCCACGTAAATTCAGTCAAAGAAAAGTTGAATATCTTAACAGTGAGTTTGAATCCGTTATGAATGATTTACATTTTACGTAATGATGAGCAAAGAAGAATTAATCAAGTCTTAGTTCAGATCTCGAAGAAATGGCAAAGGTAAATTATATTATAGACGAATCAAAGTAAAAAGTTTATGAAACTTATGGTTATTTTTTTTATCTAATTTTTTGAATACTATCGAGATAGATCCAAAGGAGTTAAAGATCTCAAGTTCGGAGGTCGTGGAACAACTGTTATGAGAATAATGAGAAAAATGTCGCATGCAAAAACTATAATTATTGTCAAAAAATTAAAACGCATCTTTCCATATTAGGGAAACTAAAAGGATCAAAAAATATTCTTAAATTCGATGGTCTTTCAAAAGCCGAAGACCAAGATGTTATTTGAATGAGCAGACTTCAAGATTGGCGTGCGTTCAAAAATTCAAATGGCTCTTGATATATGTTGTAGTCTGGTTTTTTTACAAACGACGTGTGATATTCTTCATCACGATATTGGAAGCGTAAATATCATGGTAAGTTAAATGTATAAACAATAAATTATTAATTTTATTATTTTTTTTTATAAATATAATAAGTTTATTTTTAGCATTGTTTAGATGACTAAACAACTTGTACCAAATTATCAAATTTCAAATACGTTCGCCATAACAACCAGGCAACTACTACTAATATAAAAGATAACAAATATTTTTTGCGTTTGAAAGAATGCTAGATCCTAAAAAAGTGAGATATATTTTCAAATGAAATATTTAGATAAATATTTATATTCTTATATTTCATTTATTTATGTATTCTACTTATTCTTTCTTAATTATTTTATCTTTCATTCATTTCAACAAAAGTTTTGGAATGCTTGCTTTAGGAAATTATTATTTCAAAAAGTTCCATATGAAGATAAAGACATGAATCAATCAAAGATCACGTACGTTTTAAAAAAAAAGATTACTATGCATTCCTCTTCACAAGAAACTCGAACAATTCAAAATAAGTTTTTTAACTGGTAATATATTAAGTTTATTGTGCTTTATTGCATTCACATAGAGATTGATTTGGATTGGATTAATCTAACATCCAATCTGGATTTAATATGATCTGCTGAATCCAAATAGTAATTCAATCTTGTTCACATAATATGGATTACTTATGAGATTTATATGAGATAGATCACAAGATGTGAATTTTGTCTAATCTTCTCATGAAGTAGAATTTTATTATTAATAATTCAATCCAGATTGAATTTTGGATTAGACAATCCAATATATTTCATATTATCTTATTATGCATAGTTTTATATTATTATTTGCCATTATATTTATTATGCTTCATATTGTATTTATTAAATTATTAAAATTTAGTTATTATTTATATTATTTATTTATTCTGTGTTAAAGCTTGGCAACAGGATGCTGAAATCTGAGCTAGTGGTGGGATCCGTTTAAGACTTATCCGGATATCCGGATAGGTACTTTAGTAATCTTTTAAATAGGATCGGTTGAAACGGACATATTCGGGTAAGCGTGTTTTTATATTCGATTGGATGGATGATGGATGACGAAGGGAAGTTATTATTTTTATTTTTTAAAAAATAAAAATTAAAATAAAAAAAGAAAACGATACTTACCTCTTCTCTCCTTTTAGGAATTTGGGCGGGCATACGGCGGCAAAATATAATCTAAAAATTTATTACGCAATAAATTTGAAAGTAGAGAGGTTTATAATATTATGGAACAAGAATATTAAATATTGAAGAAGATATCCATAGGTATTTATTTTTATTTTTTCCTAAAAAAAGAAAAATGATACCTCTTCTCTCCTTTGGGAATACGGAATCAGTTGAGCGGACGTACGCGAAGGTATCTACTTTTACTTTTTTCAAAAAAAAAAAATTTAAATAGAAAAATGATACTTATCTCTTCATTCCTTTAGTAATATGGCGGGCGTACGGAAGTGAAGGTATCTTATCTATTTCTATTTTTTTTAAAAAAAAAGAATTAAAGTAAAAAAAAAATGAAAAATGATAATCATACGGAATCGGTTGGGCATATCCAAATCCCGTTCCACTTGTCGAAACCATATTATAATTATTGTTATTTAAAGACGACGACGTTCCGGGAGTTATAACATTCGAATTAGGATTCATATTAACAACATTCATACTAGGATTATTAACGGTGGTATTCGTATTCGAATTAATATTAGGATTCATACTGATAGTAGTAGAAAAAGAAGGAACTTTTGATTTACGTAAAGAAGTAATAGCTGTTGAAGTAGAAGACCGATAAATATTCAAAGTTGATGTTAATTCATTTTTACGATTTAGAGAGATCTAAGGATCTAAAGAATAAAAATAAAAAATAAAAATAAAATAGAAAAAAAGATCAACTTATATATTTGTTTTTGTTATTATGTCACTACGATACTTGTATTGTTATAACTTCGTAACTTGCTTCGTAATGATTTAATAGATATTTGAAGTCAAAACCAAATACCAAACATCCAGTAAATAATTCTAAAAGCAATTATTCTCATGTGTGTACAACAATAGTTTTTATGTCAAAAGAAAGATAATATAAGAGATACTTGATATAAAATTATAAATCAATTGATTATTCATTTATTTACGCTTTCCCTTTGATTCAGGACCTATATAGTCGTGACTGTTTTCATCTTTCATTGTCCTCTATCTCAGAAAGAACAATTTGTAATTTTTTTATAATTTGATATATCTCATATCACGTTCAATATCAGAATATCAGAAGGAAATGTTAATAAAGAAATTTATTACAATGAATTAAATTTAGATTTCCCGTGAATAAAACTCAAAAATAAATATAAAATTAAAAAAGAAGAGCAGAAAATTTTTTTTGTTGATTCTTGACACCAAGAATGAACATTTTTTTCCTCCCAGAAAATATAATTAATTACTTACGACACGACATTATATTAATTACCATTAGTAAAAAAAGAATTTATGCCGATAGTGATAACATTTATAGTTATATTATGTTGAATTTTCAATGTTTGAAAAATAAAAATAAAAAACTTTTAAAGAATGGTTTATGATGTAATATTAAATGTCATCTTAAATTTTCACTCGAAAATCATACTTTTGATCTTCAATTCTTCAGCAAAGCGACGGGTCACTTACTAGTTTTTTTAAAGAAACTTTAGGATTGAATTTATTTGTCAGAGTTTATCTATATTTACTCCTAAATATATATTATTCTGAAAAATATGGAATATTTGTTATATTATTTTAACAGTTTTAAAATCTGCAAAAATTAAGAAAATTTCTGGTTTCTCCACAACAGAAAACAAAATTTGAAAATCTAAAATGTTTTTTATTATAAAATTTTAATGTTCCGATTTTGCCTATTGTCACGTTCTGTGCAGAACAAAGCGAAAGTTACACCAATCAGTCTCAAATTTATCACGTAATAATTTAATATATATATCACTAATACGCTTTTACTGTGCACAATATCACGACACACCGTAAGTCAGGCAATCAG